AATAAGTGCATTAAAAGAGGAGCAGAGAAGGAGAAGAATACAAAGACTAGATTCTCCCAGGGAGCATCAACGTCATGTCTGTGCGCCAGTCTTCATTCTGTGTACATGTTTGTATATGGCAGAGGAAATGAGAAGAAGAAGAAAGAAAACTGTGGAGAAAAAGAGAAACAGAGAGAAAGAACCGACTAGCGACTAAAAGAAAACAGTCAGTGGGCAGCAGCAGCCGAGTCAGAGTCAGCAGCTGCCATTGACAGCGGCCCGCAACCAGAGCAGCCAATTGGGGGCACAGCCAAGAGTCGGTGATATTATATAGCCAGGCAAAGAAAACACAGCCATTGATGAGCATGAGATGATGATGGTGGTGGTGATGATGATGGAGGGGCCCTGGTAGTACCAACACCACCACTGGTGGCCTACTGCCTCACTAAAGTGGCACTGCCACTTGCTGGTGTTCCTTCTCTTTTTCTTCTTCTTCTTCTTCGATTGCCGCCCGGCTTATTGGTCTAATGGAGCAGGCAATTTAGTGTTTCTCTCTCTTCTCTGTGATTTACCGACTTGATTTATCACTGGGCCGTGACCAGACAGCCACTGACACTGGCCAGTGGACATTGTCTGGTCAGCGTTTCATTTCATTAATCAGTCCTCACTAAACGGTCCTCCTGTAAGCAGACCATGTCATTAAGTACCGCTCCTCCCCCTTTTTAATGCAGCAACGATTTATTTTTTGCTCCAAGGCGACAAAGCTGGCGCCCTGGACTGGAGCAATAATCACAAAATACAGTGGTGCAGAAATGTGGTGGAGGTAAGTGAGTGGGTGTGAAAATAAAAGATAGAGCAAGAGTTTAAGAAAAATAGAGATAGAAAGTATGAGAACAGAATAAGAATATGAACAACAACAACGAATGAAAGAAAGGTCAAATAGAGTGAAGCAATTGAAAGTTAGCAAGCTTGTTCGCAAGAAGGCACTGAAGGGTGTTGTCAAGAAGTGGTGGTACTCTGTAGTAGAAGTAGTTCTTGTTCTCATATCTTTTTGCTTTTTCGGTTGCAGTTGGAGAGTGGTAAAAAGGTAAGAAAGGTAAGAGCTTGTAGCAGAAGGTGGCGATCATCACTGGAGAGCTGGCTCAGCTAATTGGGCATGGTATTCATCAAGTGTTATCATCATCAGAAAAAAAAGTTAAAATGAGAAAAATAGCTCGTTTAAAAAGTAACTGTATGAAGGATGAGGAGGAGAAGGGGCTGCCTGCAAACTGTTTTCTTGGGTGCGTGTGTGCCAATGTGTAAATTGATTATTAATTAAAAATAAAATTAATAAATAGTTGTAATTGAAAAAAGTAATTGGGTGAAAAATAATTAGAGCATTACAATTAAAAGAAAATAAAAGTATAAAGAGGAGAACATGCATTAAGGAGGAGGAGGTGAAGGAGGGGGAGGGGAAAATAGTGTTTTGATAAAAGGCCAGTGAGTGAAAAGAAAAAGAGAGAGATAGAGCAAGATAGAAAGAGAGAGTGAGATCACTGTTCATGATCATCATCATCATTAGCATCATCATCATAAATCGGTCACAATTTTAGCTGCCCACAGTTCGGAGAAAAAGTCAAAATCACGAAACATATTCTGGTCGGTAGTGGAGACAGGGCGGGCCTCCTTCGGCGGCGTCAGCACCGGCCGCTCAGAGGTGAACTCCTCATCAAAGTTGGTCACATCTTCGAGGTTTTTCTGTTGTTCGGGGAAAATTGGTGTAAACAAACATAAAAGGCAGTCACAAAACAAACGTACCACAGTAGGAACAAAGGGCGGCCGAATCTTCTTCTTGAGTAAGTTCTCAAAGTTCATTGTCTACAAAAGAAATAAAGGGTCAGAAGATTGTTTCTTATGAAAATGCAAAACTATCACAAACCCTAAAGAACGGCACTCGCTTCACATCTTCTGCATCACGATCAGTTGAGCCTAGTCGCTTTTCGGGGTTCTTTTTCAAAAGCTGTTGTTTGCAAAAAAATGTGTTTAGTAATCAAAAGGTAAACCACAGTTGCCATCTTCACTTACTCTTCGCATCATCGACACCGCCTCCAGAGAGAGAAATCGCGGAAACCTCACCTCATCATTGACAATACTGTCAAAGACCTCCTCCTCGTCGTCACCGGGAAAGGGAGACTGCAACAAAAAAATTAGCTCAATAAAATAAATTACAAAATTTGCACCTACCTCTCCGACGAGCATCTCAAAGATGAGCACCCCAAAACCCCACCAGTCAACGGCCCGTGTGTAGGAGTTCTCCGTCAACACTTCGGGCGCCAAAAACTCGGGCGTGCCGCAGAAAGTGCCTGTCCGGTCACCGTAACCGATGCCCTCCTTGCACAGGCCAAAGTCGGCGATGCGAACGTAGCCCTCTCGGTCCAGGAGAAGGTTGTCCAGCTTGAGATCGCTGTTGAGTGAGTTGTCAAATAAACATAAACGATTCACACAAAACTTAAACAAAACCTTACCGGTAGACAATTTTGTTCTTGTGCAGGTACTCCAGGCCGAGCAGCACACAGGAGGCGTAGAAGATGGTCCGTGGCTCACTGAAAACCTCATTGTGGATGTGCATCATCAGGTCGCCGCCGCAGGCGTACTCCATCACAAAGCAGACGTGCTGCGACGTCTGAAAGCAGGCAAAAAGGTTGACCAGGAAGGGGTGGCGCACCTTGGTGGCCGTCTCGAAGATGCGCTTCTCCGACAGCAGGCTCTCCACCTCGTCCCGAGCGATAATGTCGCCCTTTTTGAGCGCCTTGATGGCAAAGTAGTCTTTTGTCTTCTTGTACTTGCCGAGGAGGACCTGGTGAGAAAAGAGGAAAAAGGGAGTTTAGATAATGTTGAAAATAAACAAAAATGTAGGCTTACCTTTCCGAAATGGCCCCGTCCCAGAACGGCAATAAGCTCAAAGTCGTTGATGTTGATGCCTTGCTTTCGCTTTGGCGGCGCAGGAGGCGCCACTTGAGGTTGCACCTGAGTCAGCGGCAGCTGTCTCGCCTTTGGACTGGTCGTCGGCAAACTGGGCGGAACTGAGGACTTCTGTCCCGAAGAGGACTTGTTGGAGCTGGTGGAGCTGGTGGTGCTCTTCGCCGAAGAGATGCGCACCGGTGGCAGGGGTGGCTCTGGTCGTTTGCTCTTGGATTTGCTGCTGGTAGATTGCTGCTCATCGTCGACCAGCTCCACAATGGGCTGGGCACTGCTGAAGGGACTAATCTTCAGGGCGGAGAGGTCGAGGGCGCTGGCCGTCTCGTCGATTGATATGGTGCTGTTGTCGCTCAGCTGCGTCGTCGTCACCGACGGATGGGAGGCGTAGGAGTACGGGTGCTGCTGCTGCTGAGAAGTGCGGTAGGCGTGACCACCGCTGCTGCTTCCCTCTCTGGTGTAGTAAATCTCCGGCGAGGGCTCCTTGACGATGGGCTGCTGCTGCTGCTGCTGGGCATTGTTCAGCACAATGTTCAGATGGTGGTGGGCATGGTTGTTGTTGTGGTGGTGGTGGTGGTGATGGTGGTGATGAGGGTGATGGGGCTGCTGGTAGGGCAAGCTGCTTGCAGTGGCAATATCACCAGTGTTTGACTTATTAGAAAGCTGCTTCTGCAGCAGCTGCAGACTGGTCGCCTCCGAGGAGGAGGAAGCGGTAGAGGGCGTCCTCGTGCCCTCCGCCGATCCGGTGGGCGTGGTGACGGTGGTAGAGCTGCTGTTGTGAAAGGAGGAGCCCATCGAGGAGATGGTAATCTTCGTTATGGGCTCATCGCTGGTGGTGGTAGTGGTAGCTTCATCCTCTCCCTCCTCGATCACCTCTTCCACCTCCTCCACAACGGTGCACCCCTCAACTGCAGCGTCTTCATCCAAAGCCTCTAAAATCTCAATATCAGAGCCTTTTTCATTCAAAACAGGCGTTCCCCCTTGCAACGTTGAAGCAGGGGCTGGTGAGGTGCCGGGCAAAAAGGGCGACGAAATGACTGGTCGAGCGGTACCGGTACCGCTGGAAGAAGAGCCCTGAGCCGCCTGCGCCTGAGCCGCCTGCGCATTGGGCAGCACCCGCTTCAGCAGCCGGCCCCAGGCGGCGACGTTCATGTTCAGCTGCGCCGGGCGGATAAAGTTGCCCTTGCCCTTCTGCTCGCGAAACAGCTTCTGCCGCTTCAGCTTCGACCGGCCAATCGACACAATGGAGGGGTTGATGAACTTGAACTCCGCAAAGAGGATGCCCTGCGGCTCCAGGTGAATCGGGATGCCCTTGCGCGTGTCGTCGATAAACTCCTCCAGGCGGAGGTACTTCAGGGCGCACATCGACCGCCAGTCGTGCCAGAAGATCTGAATCTCCAGCTCCTTGCAGCGGTCCAGCTCAAAGCTGAAGCGCTGGTCCCAGGCCTTCTGACTGGCCGTCTTCCAGTTCGTCTGCCCCACCGTCACATTGTCCAGCTTGAGGATGGCCATCACCTCGTTACTGGGCTCTGGTTCAGTTTTGACCGAGTAGGAGCGAGAGTACGTCCGTCCCAGGCCTTTGCCCTTGACAAAGGAGGAGAGGCCGCTGCTGCCACTCCCGCCACTTCCGCTTCCTTCGTTTTGGGCGGAAGCAGAGCGACCGGGGACGTCTTTCAATAAAGCCTGACAGCCAACGAGGCGGACTTCAAGCGTTCCAGTGACGGCAGCAGGTTTCGGGAGAAAGTAGGCCGCAGATGAATTGGCGGAGGTGTTTGCAGCCGGGGTGGTCGTGGTCGACTCACGACGAGAGCCACTTCCGCTGCTACTGTTGCTGCCACCGCCATTGCCACCTCCACTTCCACTTCCTCCAGCACTGCCATTGTTGTAGGTGTCGCCGCTGTTGGTGGACTTGATGGTGGGCGAGTAGATGGACTGCTGCGAGCTGACTGCCGCCGAGCTCTGGCTGCTGCTCGACTCCAGCTCCGCCTTCAGCTCGGCGGCCTTCTCCGCCTCCGAGGCGGGCAGCTGCGCTCGACAGAGCTCCAGCGACCGTCGCAGGAGGTCCAGCTTCTTGCTCGACTCGTCCAGATTCGACTTTGCCTCCAGCGAGTGCTTGTCAGTGCTCTTCGTGTTCAGCTTCTCCAGCATGCGAATGGCGTTCTTGGCGCCGTCCACGACGGCACATTCGACGCGCAGGCGATACCGCAGCTCCTCGATGCGGGCGTCCAGCGAGGGCTCCACCTCAATGGGCCGCTTAACCGGTCCGGAAAGGGTCCCTCCCAGAGAGGCATCAGCTTCGTTACTGCCTCCTGTATCACCACCGCCGCCGTTTCCAGCGCTTCCGTTCATCATCGCCGCCTGGTGGCTGTCAATCTGGTGGCGGGCGCGGACAATCTGCATGCGAATGTACTCAATTTTCGCCTTGCTCTCCTCGAACATCGCCTGCACCTGCTCCAGCAGCTTCTTCGAGGCCTTGTCCGGCTTCGTCCCATAAGAGTGGATCATATTCTCCAGGCCTTGCTTCACCTTGTTCTCGATGTTCATGCGCTTCTCTAGCACGGCCAGGCTCTCCGCCAACTCCGCCAGCCGTTGCTGGCCCTCGCTCAGCACCACCGGTTGTTGCTGACCGCCATTTGCTGACGACTGAAGAAGACTGGCAGGCAGAGAGTGGCTGACAGAGGTGCCATTGTCCATGCTCGCAAAGTCAGACAGCAGCTGGTCCTCGCGGTCAGAAGAGGTCTGACTGCTCTGGTCACCGCCGCCTGAAACTGAAGGCATGTCGATAATGTCAATGGGCGGCGTCTGCTCGTGTTGTTGATAATATTGCTGCTGTTGTTGCTGCTGCTGTTGGTGGTGATGGGAGGTGTGATGGTGGTGGTGATGATGGTTCGTCTCCACGACAAATCGCTCCAGCTCATTGAGATCATCCTGCAGGTCCTGCAGCTTGCTATTCGTCTCCTTCACAAACTTGTCCACCTTGGAGAGCGACTTGCCGTCATTGGAGGCGCGGCGCAGATTCTCCGCGCCCTCCTTGATCTTGAACTCCCGGCGAATGGCTTCCTTGAGAAAGCGTTTCAGCAGGTCCACCTTCTCCACTATCGAGAGGTTGTACTCATTGGGCAGGCTGTACTTTTCAATCAGCAGAAAGAGAGGCGTCATTGGGGCGTCTGCTGCTGAGGCCGCCGCTGCAGACGCCTGCCGAGAGGTGGTCAGCGAGGAGGACATCCTTATCGCTGAGACCGCTGTTTTTGTTCAGTTGTTGTTGTTGTTGTTCAGTGTACCTACAACGACAATAGCAAAAAAGGAAGAAAGGCAATTAGAAGAGGTAAACNTTATCGCTGAGACCGCTGTTTTTGTTCAGTTGTTGTTGTTGTTGTTCAGTGTACCTACAACGACAATAGCAAAAAAGGAAGAAAGGCAATTAGAAGAGGTAAACAGAGAAGACAGTCTAAGAGAGGGACTGAGCACCGACACTAAACGGCGGATCGTCACAGTTACGATGTGTCAGCAGTGGACAGCAGAAAAGCATCGTCAGCAAAGCAGAGTAGCCAGTCAAAACACACACAACAACACTCACTCGCAACAGAAGTGAGCAATCGTCTCATAGACTAGTCTCGTAAACATACACAAGTCTGTCCATCTCAAACTTACAGCAGTCGCCACTCACTGGTCAAAAGTAGTCAGAAGAAGAAGAAGAAGTGGACGATGTGAGTGGGCGAAGAGTCTTCGCTCATGTGTGTGCACTTGTTTGTTTGTTTGTTTGTACTGCTAAGGAACTGTAAAGTGGCCATTTAGTCCACTCTCTTGGCGACTGCCTTCCCCAAAAAGTATCCAGTCTGACTGTCTGTCTGACTATCTGCGTTCACCACTGCCGCTTATGCCTGAGCAACCACAATTGAACTGCACCGGGCACTCTCTTCTGTTTACCACCACTACCAAACAGTCGATTTTGATTGATCGTCGTCAGCAAAGGCAGTGTGCAAATATAGCTAAATAAAATAGACAAATAGACAAACAAACAGAAGAGCAGGAAAGGAAAAGGAGTAAGCATCTCTTCACAGCATCTTTTCTGATTGCACCGGTGAGCTATCCCCGTCCTTCAGTCTGCTGTTATTGGTGCTGCCTTTTCCTATTGATCGATCTTGGCCTGGTCTAGTCTATGGGCACAAACTCGACAGCACAATCTCGCATCTGGGCGCGAGAAAAGATCAGTGTGAGTGTTTGTGTGTTATGGCGGCGCCAAGTGCGGCCCCACTGCTGCTGAAGCAGCTAGCTAATGCCGGTGTCAGCACTAATGCAAGTGCACCCACTTTCAGTCAGTCAGGCAGTCTATCTCTTCATCGATCGGCTGGCTCTGTCTGTCTGTGTGTTTGTGTGTTTGTTGTTTTCGCCAGCAGTAGCACGCGACACTTGAGAAAAAATTGGAAAGTGTCAGCATCTCTCCAAGTATTGGACGGATGAATTGAAGAGATGCAGCAACGGCAGAAAATTGGCGGTAGCACTGAAGGAAAAGAAGGTGGTGGAGGCACTTACGAGGAAAAGAAGTTCAAGTTGGCCCCCTTCCTCAGTCTGTTTGTGCTTTTTTAGCGAGATTTTTTTGTGCTCCATTCACCGACAAACCAACCAACACACACGGCTTTCAGGCCAAAACAAAGTCTATCGATCGTGTGAAGTGGCTGAGGCACAAGTTGCACAAGCAGCTGCTGTTTGCTTCAGCTCTAATTGGCACCGTACTGTACTTTGTAAAGCTACTGGTGCTGAAAAATAAATTGGCACTTGCCGAAAGATGAGACAGACCTACTGAGCTACTGCTGCTGATCTGCGTGTGATGATGTGCGCACAGCTCATACACAGTTAGGAAAAACTGAACATCCCTCTTCACTTGCGAAGAAGAAGAAGATAAAACTCAGTCAGTCAGAAAAGGCTAGGAAAAACACAACGCACAGACGGCGAAAACGTCTTTTCATTTCAGCTTGCACTAGTTCGCAGTGCTGCAGCTGGAACCATCATCACCACCGACACTAACTACCAAAG